TCGGGTTCGCACTTCGGACCACTCTCAACCATTCGACGGGCTTCACCCCCGCTTTCCTCACATTCGGGAGAGAGCTTCCGAACCCCATGGACCGTGTCCTAGGGGCGAGCGCCGGGGTGGACAACGCGCAGCCGACGCAAACGGACCACGCGCGGCAGCTACAAACTCGGATGACGGAAGCCTTCTCGGAGGCGCGTCGCAATCTCGGGGTAGCGCGAGCGAAACAAAAACCTCAGTACGACCGCTCGCATCGAGATCTCCGCTACAAAGTGGGCGATCTCGTCCTCAGACGCAACCATGTTCTGAGTGATGCCAGCAAAGGCTTCTCGGCCGCTTTGGCTCCGAAGTGGTGTGGCCCGTACCGAGTGCAGGAACATCTCTCCCCACTCGTGTACAAGCTGACAAACTTGCAATCAAGAAAAGTCAGTGGGCCGGTACATGTGTGCGATCTGAAACCCTACCATGAGAGGGAAAACGGGGCCAACGAGCAAACTCAGCCCCCGCAGAAACATGCACACGCAGCGCGAGATAACGCCGACAATGAACAACAGGCGTCTCGCTACAATCTGCGTAGACGGAGGAACTATTATCCGAAGTTTTCGTAGAGACAGCCCCTGTAAGTGGCGAAATGTCACATTAAGGGAAGTGCAAAGCACAATACACCTGCTGCCTTCGCGAACGCGCCAGACACCATTGTTTACTGGCAAGCAGTGACCTAGAGACGTCACCTCAGCGTTCGCTCCCGGGTGAACCCGTAGGGGAATCCCCCAAGCACGGCTTCCGAGGGAAAGGGTACGCGTAACTGCCATTGGTCAGTTATTGCCACCTACGCTCACGTGTGCCACATGTCAACGCAAGAGCGCGGTGCGAGCGTCGTCACAAGCGGTCGGAGACCAAGTGGTCATTCTACTGCAGTACGTTCCGCACCTACGAAGAGGACCTCCAGCCTTTGCTTCGCGTCGTTCGGGAGCTACTGTCTCCTGGCTGCGGCAGCTCAGCGGCGTCCAGGGACCACAGCTGCGCGTGACTCGTCAGGCGGCCCCGCTACCCCAGCCGGCCGCGGGCCAAACCAGTAACCCGTCGTTTTCGTGGGCCGTCGGGATCGTGATTCGGTCAGGGACTGCCGGCTCATCATCTTCGGGACCCGCGCCGCGGTCGGAAAGCTCGCCGACCAGGGACCAGCTGTTCCCGTTCGTCCCGTGACAAGTCCCAAGGGCCCCAGGGACCTGGAGCAGTTCGCCCGGCAGGGCTCGTGGGCCACGCACTACATCGGCAGCCGAGGGATAATCTACCGGGACCTGGCCGTCCGGAACGTGCTCGTCGATGAACACAGCTGCTACAAGGTCGCCGACTTCGGCCTCTCCAGGAGCACTATAGACTCCGAGACAGACCTCTACCACCATTGTCCAAGTGCGCCCTCCCGGTGAGGTGGATGGCTCCGGAGTGCGTGCAACTCCTAATTTCCCCTTCAAGTCCGACGTCTGGGCGTTCGGCGGACTACTGCTGTGGGACATTCATCACTTTGGGCTCGACGCCCCACGCCGGCCGCGTATTGTGAGACCCCCCACGGCAAAGCCCCGCGAGAGAGAAAAGAAAGAGGGAGAGGAGGAAAGGGAGGAGAGATGAATACCGCGATTGGCTGGCGCAGTCACGTGGTACGCGCGCGCTACGGGCTGTTCTAAGCTGCGTGCAGCCCCCCTCCCCCCCGCTACCGCCGACGCGAGCAGACGCCCTGCCGTTTTGTTTTGGAGTACTCCACGCCCCAGTCGAAAAAGTGCATTGGTGCAGTCCTAGATATTGGAAGGTATCGTTAGTGTGAAACTGGATAACATACGCGCACAGGTCTCAATGCTGACTGGGCAGCTACGCTACGGCCGTTTTATGCTTTCTGCCGTAACGTTCGCGTACTCCAGGGCGGAAGGGTGTGTTTAGGCCTAAGGACCCGTGACCGCTGCCAGCGTTCCGAAGTCATTTACGGCCTGGAAATAAACCCAGCTCGTTTGGCTTTCGCTAAAACGTCCAGTGTAGCTAATGTTTTATTTCATTCGAACGACGCGCCGCTGCGGTGTTGTGTAGTCTGCCCTACAGCGATGCCCAACTCGCCGCTTGGCAGCATTATTCACGGGTGTAACATCATTCGCCCGTTGCTGGCCTCAACAGGAATCGCGCCAGGTACGTATGAGACGCCAACGGAGCACAAGCGGTGATCTGGACCGCGAGTGCACGTCTGAATTGTGCTTTGCATATACACTGTCACGCCTCTGCAAGAATCAATCGCGCTCCCCGCAGCTAGTCGAAATGGAGAAGTGCATTGTCAAGCCTGTAACCCTGCGGCGAAATTGATCTATACCCGATGTCAGCTTTTTTGTGCTCCACTGGAAACGGTACTAAGCGTGAACGCAGCTGCTTCGACCAGTGCTTTTTTTTTTTTTGCGCGATCACTCGAGGGGCTGAAGCATGTCCGCGGGCAGCGTGCACGCACTCGTACACCCACAGTGGAGTGACGCGAAGTGACGTAGCGATTGTTACAAATTTAGCGAAGGAAGCGGGCAGTGAGAAAATATTCCACAAGCCGACTGGCCATCTACTGTCATCGTCCTCACCTGCAGCGACGACTGGGCACGTGTGTGAACGAATTGGTTGATGTCAAGGGTCGTCCTCGCTGTGCTTACCAATTAGCCTCTGCAATGTGATATGCCCACATGCCCACTGTTATGCGTACGCGTGCTGCAGACAGCAGGTGTCAGATTTGTCCTAGCTATGCTTACCTCAGAATATCTTCAAAGGATTGTATTCACACATGTCCGCAAGCCTCGGATAGTTTTGCCCGAGTGACTTGGAGCCTGTGCTCGACACAGGGGGGCTATGTTGCACGTTTTGGACTCCCAGAAGACTAGGGAGAAGGAAGTGACGTAGGTGTGAATGAACGTGTCTTGGCAACTTCTGCAGATACTGTCATCAGCGACTACACCAATCAACATCCAGCGAGCATCGTTGACGTCACTTCCTTCTCCCTAGTCTCCTGGGAGTCCAAAACGTGCAACATAGCCCCCCGGTGCGAGGGCTGGCTTTGCCTGCCTGACCTCCATCTTTCTTTGCGACTACAAAAAGCTGGCCAAACTGGCACCTGGCATTGGTGAATAGGTAGTCTAGACATAAAGGGAAACCGAGGTCAGCCAGCGTGAACTTTGCTTCAGCAACAGGGTTTCAAAATGCAGCCGCAAAAAGATGCACTACATGTTGGGCACATTGCCATTGACGTTTCTGTTTCCAGCAGCTACAAAAATAAGCACTCTCATCTCAGTTTGTCCTCTTTTCCAAACTTGGTGATGTTAACCACTTGCGAGGTTCCATCAACCCAAATTTCCACTACAGAATACTGACACTTCTGGCTGCATGACCTCCACTGGGCCATGTGCAGTCAAATCATGGAATGCCTAATTTTTCTGAAACCAGTAGGGAAAATATACGAGGCAAGACATTCTCAGATGATCAGCATGGTCGACTATATATGCAGCAGACCCGACAACAAAACTCCCTGCACACAACTTTAGAAATCCATCCATTTATTTCAGGCACATTGCACTTGCGAGCAGGCAAGCACGAAAGCAAATTTACATCACGAGCACTGGCAGTGCAACACAAGGCGCGCAAATACGCCCAACAAAAAATATGAAGCATAACGAAGAACTGTGGGCTAGTACTGTAGAAAGTTGTTAAAGATTGGTAGACAACCTGTCTGCAAGGGAAGCTTGAGAAGTAGTGAGCCTATTTTTGATGGGACTGTCACATGCAAATGGCCCTTTATTATTTCTCTGCAAAGTCTCCTTTGAGTGTTATGCACTTCTAGTGGAGCCCACCCACTGAGAAAAAAGTAATTTCTCTTGGTCCTCACACCACTCACGTGCAGCGTCTATGACGGCTTCCTTGCTGGAGCGGCTGTCTTTACAGATCTTGTTTGAGCGCAGGGAATAGATGAAAGTCCGATGGTGCCAGATCCAGTGAGTAGGGTGCCAAGGCATAAGAGTTCTAAGTCACATTCATGGAACTGTGGGGCAGGTAGTGAGACAAGCTGGAATGTCTTGGAGGAAAGTCACATCACCCAAGTTTTCTGTGATGTTTCTCGACAATGGTGGCTCACAATTTTACAACATGCCAAGCTCGATGGATTGCTGTTAAAATGATGTGGAAAAAGTAAAACTACACACTGGCATGGTTCTTTTCTAATGTGCTTGCTTATTTTTAAGCAGGCTCACTACTTGTCAAACATTGCACATATGAATCCAATGAGAGGGGTAATCATTTTTAAGTAGCCATCAAAAAAGTGAACACTATTAGTGGTCCCAGTAAACAGGAATGAAGAGGAAGGAGTAGTAAACCTTAGTTTGTAGACAGCGGTCAGAGCCCCATTCCTTCCTGTGTGTGTTTGTGTATTTTGCACAAGCCAATGCATATAACAGACACGTACCAACTAGTTTAACCCATCCCCATACCTATTAGTGTAAAATAACATTGAAAGTTTAAACCATGTGTACTTGGGGTCAAGAATGATGATCGTGGTCGCTGTTCTAGTGCTTAGAGCGTCTGCCCATTCCAAGTGCCCAACCCCAAATTTTATAACATTTGAAAGAAAGAAAAAAAAATGTGCACAGTACACATATATACATGTTAATATGATGACCTAACAAGCACCCATCCCCCAATGGTTTGTGACTATCTCAAAATTTTGAGTGGGCACTTGCTCGGTAGGTAGTCTGCCACATGAAATCGAATACTTCTAGCCTCTGAATTTGGGACGAAGACCATCTGTATGCTATATAGAAGCTGCCCACCAGGAAATAGATAGCCAGGGCTGGTCAGATATACTCGAAAACCTATTCTGGAGCACAAATACTGCAATACATGTACTGCGAGGATAAAATACAAAAACAGATACAATTGTCTTCACAAGTGCAGCAAGCTAAGGTGGTGAGCAGATACAATTGTCTTCACAAGTGCAGCTAAGGTGGTGAGCAGGTCTCGCAGGGTACTGGGATTCGCGTCTCGATTTTCACGGCGTTTCGGACGGGAGACCCTGAAAACACTGTACACGGCTCTGGTACTTCCTCGACTGGAGTACTGTTCTTCAATATGGAGCCCTCATCAGATACACCTCACTGAGCGCCTAGAAAGTGTGCAGCGCCGCGCGACTCGAACCTTGGCCCGCCACGACCATTCCTCCGACTACGATGAACGCCTGCGGTCTCTTGGTTGGCACCGCCTGAGCCACCGACGAACAGTGGCGCGTGTCCGACTCGTTGCTGTTGCCGCTGGCCCTTCGCTGGCCGGCTCCTACCTAGCATCAGTTCCCCGTATCTCTAGCCGGACAGGCTGCCCTATCCCTCTCCGCGCCCGCACCCGGCGACACGAAGCTTCGCTGTTCCCCGACGCGGTGAGCACGTACCTGTCCTTACCTGAGCGCACGCGCCCACCCCTGCCGGGGACTGGGGACGAACTCCGCGACTTCAGCAGGACTGTGTCGTGTGCTCTCCGAGCTCAGTAACTCTGTGTACCTATCATTTCTTCCTCCCTTTCATTTGTATATTCATCATCATCATTTCACCTGTTAACACACAGCCGAGGAGGCAGCCAGCACTTGGCTGTACGGGCTTCTGCCTTTTGGCTGCCTCAGGCACTCGGCTGTGTGGAAGTTGTGCCATTAAACACCTTGAACCTTGAACCTTGAAAGCATTCTACAGGGTGATACAAGGAGACGCCAGGCTCTTTAAATCGACCGGAAAATTCGCTTTCTTAACCTATCGCTCTACGACTTTGTGCAGCGTTGCCCACGGATGGTGCATTTTTTTTGTAAAATTTGCAAAGAGCGATTTTACCTGAGGAAAAAGTAAAGAAAGAAAAAGGCTTAGCTCCTATGGAAACGCAGCGACGCCACTGGTCTGCAAACAACAGAGCGCCGTTTCGCATGGAGGTAGGAAGCTTGTGGAGGAGACACGACGCCCCCAACGATGAGCAAAAACCAAGAGACGCTTGTGGACGAAAAGGAGAGCTGGCTCAACAGCTGTCCAATAGCATCTCTTGGTTTTTGGTTATCATTGGGGGCGTGTCCCTCCACGCTTCTGGCTTCACCCCTGGTAACCTCATGTCGCCTCCAGAAGCTTCCTACTTCCATAGACAAGAAAGGACACCTTTAGAGGCTGTTGTAAAATAAAAAGAAGAGAACTTGGAGATGCCCGAGCAGGAAAGAAAGAGTGGCAAACGACTTTGAGGACGAGCCGAGACCGAGGCACCGGCCCCTTTCTAGGAAACCGCGAAGAGGGACGGGGAGCCGCAAGGAGAGCGCGCCCCACTGTGGGGTCATAAATGACGAGCCCCCCTCTTGGACCTTGCTTTGTGCGGGCCACTTCTCCCTTCTTGTTTGACCGACGGTCGAAGGTGAACGTGCCTTCGCTCGCTTTACTTGAATCAGTTTTCACTAGAAATAAACCATGTTCTGTTACACTAAAAAACAATGAGTCCTTTCCCTAATTCCACACTGTTAAAAAGTTGGTGCCGAAACCCGGGAATGAAGGAAATTAGGACGTGACTTCCAACGCAGAACATCCAACGACAGAAAAGGGAAAAAGACGAACGAGAAGAAGGCAGGAGCCATCTTGGATTCGCCAACGGCTGAGGCAACGAGCTCCGGACCATGGAACAACTCAAGGGGAAACGAACTGCCCTGCAAACACAGGTGACCAAACTCCTTTCTGAAATTGATTCATACATCAAAAGCAATGAGAAAAACGAAAAGAACCTCAGCATCTTTTCCGCAAGGCTTGGTGCCCTCCAAGCCCAACTGAACGAGGTGGACGCCGCCATCGAGCCACTGGTGCCGGAAGAAGCCGAGCAAAACTTTGTGCAAACAATTGAATACAATGATCAGGTCCTCACCTATATTGCAACATTTCAGGAAGAGTTGAAGGAAGTCCGAGCAAGGGCACCACAAAATTCGGATTCATCGGCGATGCACAACAACGGAAACGCGACAACGACTGCCTGTCGAGTGAAGCACCTGAAGCTCGAGCTGCACAAGTATGACGGCAAAAGCTTCTCCTGGCAAGAGTTCTGGGAGCAGTTCGAGCAAGTAATACCTTCGACAAGTTCGGGTACCACAGGGCTGCGGTGACCGGCGAGGCGTCAAGTGCCATCAGGGGTTTGCCTCTCACATCACGGTGCTACGAGGACGCGGTGCTTCTGCTGAAGAAACGCTTCAGAAATGAGGACATCCTCGTTCAGACACACATGCAGAAGCTCCTACATCTACAGCCAGTGCGAAACGCCGACGACGTCCGGGGTCTCCGTTGACTCTACGACACCATCATCTCCCATCTCCAAAGGCTGGAGGCACTCGGACAGAAGCATCAGACCTTTGGTGCTCCTCTGTTTCCAATGGTTTACCGTGCACTGACAAAAGAAATCTTGCTGAATTTTAACAGAACGATCGTGAACGAGCAGGCATCAGACGTGTCGACGCTGGACGCTTCAGCTGGTGGGATGTCCACGAGATTTGAGGACTCTCGGGAACGGCCGATGGAGACAAGCACCATTGAACGAGGTATCGTGCCACTAATCTCACGACTGCTTGCCTTTTTGAGAGTCGAAGTCCAGAACCGCGGGAACCTAGCTACACAACAAGCTATAGGCACGAGGCAACAGCCACGTGGATTAAGGGCAGAGAAGAAAAACGAGAAGAAGGGAAGTTCTGAAGAACGCTATCAATCCTCCGCAGCATTACTGCATCAATGAACGAAACTTGATAGCTGTTTCTTCTGCAAAGAAAAAATTGTGCAACAGCTGCCTGCCCTGCTGAACCCAAAGAGCCCGTGCCACTCTGTCCGTCTTTCTTTTTAACGGGCAGACGACTGACGACGCAGCCAAGCATAGGGAGGAAAGATGTCTAAGGTGTTCACACCAACCTTCGCAGGTTTTGGACCCACCGACAGATGACAACGGAAGCCTTCTGGCGCCGATGGAGCCAAGAGTACATGGCGGAACTGAGGAATGTGCAAAGCCAGAAACAACGCCAAGAAAAACTGCTGGAAGGGGGTGATCTGGTTCTTCTTCGCAACGGCCTGCGACCCCGACAGCAGTGGGGACTCGCTAGGATCCAGCAGGTGTTTCCGGGAAGAGACGGCAAAGTATGATCATGCCTGCTCAAGATGCCCAGAGGGTCAACGCTCAAAAAACCTATAGTACAGTTATTGCACCCTCTTGAGATCGCATAACGGGACAAAAAAAAAAAAATGACGTCATTTTGGGGGGAACGTGTTGTAAAATAAAAAGAAGAGAACTTGGAGATGCCCGAGCAGGGAAGAAAGGGCGGCAAACGACTAGGACGACCCGAGATTGAGGCACCGGCCCCTTTTCAGGAAACTGCGAAGAGGGACGGGGAGCCGCAGGGAGAGCGCGCCCCACCGCGGGGTCATAAATGACGAGCCCCCCTCTTTACCCAAGCTTGGGGGCCACTTCTCCCTTCTTGTTCAAACGACGGTCGAAGGTGGACGTGCCTTCGCTTGCTTTACTGAAATCAGTTTTCACTCGAAATAAACCATGTTCTGTTACACTAAAAAACAATGAGTCCTTTCCCTAATTCCACAGGGGCGTTCCCACCGACCGCGAGCTCTACTTTTGGCTTCACTTGGGATTTTCTTGTTTGGCCGCCTTGAGTTGGTATGTCGCCTCCTATTTCTTGCTATTTTCATAGTTGTTACCATTACTGATATCGATGAGTATGCATTATTTAACCAGATTCTAGAGCAGATTCTGTTCCCGCAAGTGTGGGAAGCATTGTTTCATAATTTATGATAACGCACCAGTAAAGCATATCATACAACACCAAAGCAAGTCTAAATATGTTGTTCAACTTGTATTTCTACGTGATTGCGCAGCAAGGTCTTACATGCTACAGCCAGCACGCCCCGCCATTTATAAAAAGCAGACGCCCCTCAGTAGAACTTCTCAATTAAAGAAAACAGATTATACAATCCGAGTTCTAGCACAATTTGCAGTTCAGCCTTTACAACTAATAAGCTCACATGCATTTTTATTTTTGCAAATTTAAACATGCGCGCTACAAGCAGCGAACACACTCGTGCCTACCGACACGAGGGCGTGAAAATTGCAAGGTTTTGCATTACAGCAGCTGAATTCCGTTATTCGTTCTACCTGTGATGATGATGGACTTTGAGATTTTTTACGTGCGAGGTGGACAGATATGAGACACCGAGAACTGCATTGACAACATCGACGTGCTTCGCGTCACTCTCACTAGTGACCGAGATACTTACCAGTGGCTGGAAAGCTACCTCCAAGCTACGAATATGTCATGGATCATGGACTGGGAACTTCCTAACCCAACAAGGTAATGGAAAAACTTTGCCTACTTTCCCTGCTCATATGTCACAGACCATACTTTGTGTTAATATTGTATGAATGTTAATGGGTTACACGGCCACCATTAGGAACTTCTAATTGGTTCCTTTGACACATGCTGGTCGTGATGAGGCCCCTCCAGGCTCGTCTGCGGTTGCTGCACCCCCTCAAAACGGCCCTCGGATCGTATGGAAGCGTGGCATAGTCGACTCATGGGATGATATTCTCTGTACATGCTAAAACTTGCACAATGTTTTTGTTCTGCAGCACCTTGGCAACTGTCAATTATCTATCTACATATCTGTTACAGTCTCTTTAACAGGCAGTAGTTGAAAAAGAGGAAAGTAGTGACACATGAGGAACAAAGAAAGGATGAATATTAGCTGGTCCTGAACGGGTTGTTAGTAAAAGATACACCATGATACTTTCTTTCAAAGGATGCTGCTGACGTACTGCAGCAGATTCAATAAGAACAGTGGCGGTACCATTGCCTGGAGCAGGTGCTGTTAGAAATGAAGCGCACAAGGAGCTGCAGGCGATTCCTTTGCACCTGGTTTGGAAGCGGCCTACAGCAGTGCCAGGAAGCACGGGCGATGCATCAAGGTGCAGCCCACAGAGATTGCCAGGTGTCGACCGGACATCACTAGAGGCGCAGGTCCAGTGTCCGCCGGCAGCCCTTCCAAAGGCTCCGGCACCAAGAGGAGCAAGCAGGTACATGATCTGCACTTCCGCATCAAGAGTGGGTGCCTCACGTCAAGTACCACGGAACCGGACACTAAACAGGAGATTGGCAAGAACACTGTTGTCACCTCCGACCATAGCTGCCTCAACTTCTCACAGACACTTTTTTTTTTTTTCTCTTTACCTACCGTGAAATATTAAGAATCTGCCCATGCAACAATAACCCCCCACCCCCACTTTTTGCAACATTTGCAAAATAGGCTAAGGATATTTTTGTACAAAGTTAAAGGGGCCCTGCAAGGACTTTTTTACTGGTTTTTAATTTGCACCAAACCTGAGCACACTGAATGTAGTAACTTAGTTAAACTTTATTTTTATCAAAATGCACTTTATTTTAATAGTTATAGGAAAATTAAAATGACAAAAACAAGCAAACAATAACGTTCCTCATGATGTCCTTGGCTGCTTGAGTGGCCGTGAACTAGAGGAGGGGTAGTGAGCTCGGCGAGCGCTCACGGCTGCCGCACTCCGTGTCGACAGCGCGAGGGCGCCACCAAAGCACGTTCTGAATAGGTTGTACGCAGCAGGCAGCCAGAGCGGCTCTCATTGCATTTGCTGC